GGTCCACCACATTGAGTGCTATCCCAAACCAATGAGGGCGGAGTGGTAGAGGGTTGTTAAACCCTCCAATGCCTAGTGAGCAACCATGCAGGCTTGTTGAATGTGTGTAACACCCTTTGCTGCACAATGGAGGACCTTTCTTTCAAATGTGGACCAAATGGACCAGTGAAGCCGTAGAGGATCTTCAGGCATACTTGGACTGTGCTGACTGAGATGTTTTCAGGACTGCTACCAACAATCTGGATGAGTTTACAGAGGCTGTGACGTCCTACATCAGCTTCTGTGAGGACAGCTGTATTCCAACACGCACCAGGGTGAGTTATAACAATGACAAACCCTGGTTCACAGCTAAGCTCAGACAGCTGAGGTTGGAAAAGGAAGAGGCATTTAGGAGTGGGGACCGAGCAAGGTTTAAGGAGTCAAAGTACAGGTTTAGCAAGGCGGTGCGAGATGCTAAACAGTTGTATGCAGAGAGACTACAACACCAGTTCTCAAGGAATGACTCTGCTTCTGTCTGGAGAGTCTTCAGACAGATCACCAGCTACAAACCTAAATCCCCCCCACTCCATGAACAACTCACGCCTTGCTAACGAGCTGAACCAGTTTTACTGTAGCTTTGAAAGACAATGGGACAGACCTGACACCATCCCCTGTCACACCACTGATCGGCCACAGTCCCCCACCTCCTCCCCCTCTCTTACCATCCTAGAGAGGGACATCAACAGACTGTTCAGAAGGCAGAAACTGCTTTCATCTGCTTTCAACACTGGCCCTGCTGCAGGACAAGCTAATCCCGGGTGAATGTGCCTAACTCCTGCAGGTGGATCACAGACTTCCTGACGGACAGGAAGCAGCACGTCAAGATGGGAAAACTGGCTCTGACTCCAGGACCATCACCACCGGTTCCCCTCAAGGCTGCGTTCTTTCCCCTCTGCTCTTCTCCCTGTATACCAACACCTGCACCTCCAGTCACCAGTCTGTCAAGCTCCTGAAGTTTGTGGACGACACCACCCTCATTGGGCTCATCTCTGGTGGGGATGAGTCTGCCTACAGGGGGGAGATTGACCATCTGGTGACCTGGTGTGGCCAGAACAGTAGAGACAGTAGAGATGGTCGTGATTTCAGGAAGAGCCCAGCCGCACCCTCCCCGATCATCCCGAGTGACTCCCCTGTCACCACTGTGGACTCCTTCCGCTTCCTGGGCACCATCAAGTGGGAACCGAACATCACCTCCCTCACCAAGAAGGCCCAGCAGAGGATGTACTTCCAGTGGCAGCTGAAGAAGTTCAGCCTGCCAAAGACAATGATGGTGCACTTCTACGTCCTCCATCACCATCTGGTACACTGCTGCCACTGGCAGGGAAAAGGGCAGGCTGCATCATATCATTCGCTCTGCAGCGAAGGTGACTGGCTACAATCTTCCATCACTTCAGGACCTGCACGCCTCCAGGACACTCAGGCGAGCAGGAAAGATTGCAGCTGACGCCTCCCATCCCAGTCATAAACTGTTTCAGACTCTCGGTCGAGGTCCATCAGGACCAAAACCTCTTGCCAAAACAGCTTCTACCGTCTGCAGCTAGACTCATCAACAAGGCCCGGGCCCCCCATTGACCCCCCCCAAATAATACCATCGTCTCTGCACATGTAAATATCACTTCATGTCATATCAATCACAAACCTGGCACATTGCACATATTTGTTGTTAATTGTAAATTGTTGTTGTTCCATTGTTTTTTTTTATATTGTCAGTTGTATTATTTTCTCTATTCTTCTGTTATTCTTAGATAACTTGCATTTGGTTATTACATATTTATATATTTCTGCATCTATTTATGTCAGCTGCATGTCTGTCTGCGTGTAGCACTTTAACACCAAAGCAATTTCCTTGTACGTATAAAACACTACTTGGTAATAATGCTCCTTCTGAGTTCCGTATGACTTTGCCGGTTAACATTTAGGATTTTTAAATTCAGAAACTACAGTAACATTTCATACCACCATTCACAAGTTAACAACATTGTGTTCAATAAAAAATGCTCTTGTCTGATAGACAATACAACTCGTTTCAATGAATCATATTCATCTCATACGAAAATCTATATCCAAAACAAAATAGCCTAGATCAAACGACAGAATAATAAAACAAGACACTACTAGATACACAGGGGATCGCGTAACAACAACAGAGCTTTAAAGAAAAATAGTTAAGTCTTTATACATTTCAACTGTTAAAGTCTTCAAACTATAGAATGCTTCATTATAATGTTTGATTTATTTTAAAATGTTGTATTTGTAAATGTAGGCTTAATATTTTTAAAATAATATAAAGAGGTTCAAATAGGCTTTTTACAATGAATATCAATCTTTTCATAAAATAATATTTTTCATAAATATATAAAGTTCTAAATATTTAAAATCTAACCAAAATAATTTGGTTCATAAAAAAAACACAAAATAAATGAAAAATGCTTTCAGTTTTGTTATTGTAAAACACACTATTCCTCAACATCAATCCTGAATCTTAAAGAGGTGGTATTATGCTCATTTTCAGGTTCAAAATCTTAATTAAGGATTGTAGCAGAACAGGTTTACATGGTTTAATTTTCAAAAAACACCATATTTTTCTCATACTGCACATTGCTGCAGCTCCTCTTTTCACCCTATGTGTTGTACACTCTGCTCTTGAGCACCAGAGTGATGCATCTTACTTGTACAAAATCTGTGTTGGGAGTTGCACATGCACAGTTCCCAGGTAAGGACTACTAGCCAATCAGAAGCAGAGAAGGGCGGGTCGTAAGAAACAAGGTAGTGTGATCCAAATCAAAGCCGCTTCAGACTGCTACCGTAACGTAGCAGATGGTGTAAGTTAGTCACACACAACATCATTGTTCCACTTACAATAAACCACAACAAAAATCACCATATTTCAACTCAATTTTACATAAAAATTGGCCAAACAATTTGAACGTTTGCTCAGTAGCTTTCACATGGGGTGTAACATTAGCATTATAGTTATGTGAAGTTACATTGCCGTGTTTATTTTAATTATAATTCACAACCAATAAAGCATACTTACAAATTGTGATTGTGAATTTCCAGGCCCAACATTGAACTGTTCCCGGTGTTCTGATGATCTATGCTGCCTTGCCAAAAAATGCTACCATAGCGCAAATTGATAGACTCGACTCTACTCGGCCCTGCTCAGTTTTCCATTGCAGATAGTACCCAGAGATAGTACGTAGCTTGTCGTCATAGCGACGCCATACACAACTGCCGCGACGTAATGTTAAATGCAACACACACACCAGCGATCCACACAGCTTTCTCTTTTTTAAGTTAAAACGTTTCAACATTCCTCAGAATGTAAAGACAGATAAGCGGTATGAAAACCTTCCAGCTGTGTTTTCCTCTGCCGTTGTTGCTGCAGCAGTCTGTGTGACGGCGGGAGCAGAGGGCTCTGTGAGCGGGCGGCTGGCCGGCCTCACACGCTCCTCCAGCAGGTTGGCACAGGCTTCCCCCGCAGCCACTTGCTCCTCAACTCCGAAAATATTCAAGCACATTTTTGTTCCGCCATCACTTCTCATAAAACTGTCAATATTTGAAATCTACACAGCTGATTTCTCAATTCAAAATTTCTCAGAAGTAGATTCATTGATGAATTTCCATATAAAAACTGTAAAATGTAAAACTTTCTGTTGCTGGCCTCTGTCTGGCGCACGCAATGATGATGCATTGAATAGTGTATATTCTCTCAGACCAATCAGCAGTCTGTCGTGTTTTCACGTTACATTTTAGTATCCCTCAGCTCGCTTGGAACCTCAATGGAGGTGTGGTGATACGAAAAAAAGTACCTGGAATCAGGTACAAACACACAAAGGCGAGTCGAGCCAAAGGGCCTCCACCCAGACTAGCGTGCCTGACCCCGGCTAGCTGCTTGGCAAGCTTTATGACGCGTTTTCATTGTGACGTCACAAGTAAAGGAAGTGAAGGGCTGGACTACAAAGGAGCTGTTTTCAAGCGGTTCAGAGCAGAGCTTTCTGTGGGAGATGGGAACTCCCTTTGGGCTGGACTTTGGGCTTTTTCACTTTGCAAACCTGTTACATGCACAAAAAAGATATATAACTCAATAAAGGTGAGGGGGAAAAGCCAAAAACATAATACCGCCTCTTTAATACAACTGTTTTTATTTATTTGATCCACAGATTATAGCAGTAAGTGCAGCGGTAACGTCAGATCCTATTTACACTGGGGAGAGGGTAGTTCATGCGAAAGTTGACCGCTGTATTTATACCCTACGCGAGTTAGAGAGCTCAATTTGGCTGTGAGATTGACCAGAGTTCACTCTGTGTGGAAGTGGCGACGGTCTAGATTTGGAAAGGCCTAAAGACACCGTCACAAACAGAGAGAAAGACGAACAGGGGACAAACATTTAAAATAAGGGAGGGGAGAAAACAGCTGAAGACATCTAAGAATGAGGGAGAGGCACAGTCGGACCAGAGATGGAAATAAACACCCACCACCAGTCAAATGTGGTTGGATTTTCCATTTGGCGGCCAAATGTTGGAAGGCTACCCGCCACATTTGCGGGTAAATATATTCGGCATAATATTTCTATTTAGACGGTAATTAGCTTGGCGTTCTTGTTGGTTGTGTGTCCCAAAAGTTTGCGTGTCTCAAAATTGTGATCTCATCATGGCGATTAAAATGTAGGTACATGTACATTTACAGAGGCAGGCAGGGAAGTTGAAGGAGTGAGGGGGATTCTCATTGGCCTCGTGTCTTGGCACTGGAGCCCCAGTGCGTCGGGGGTGCCATGGGGTCGGTGTCCGCCTTGCCAGACATTTGGTGGGTCGGGAGGGGAATGACTCCCCTGGCTTGGGGGCTCGCTCTGGGCCTAGGGGTCTGGGGACTCGGGCTTCTGGCTTTTGCTCATTTCTGGGAGGGTGGTGTGTCCCTGGGCGTCGGGGGCCCGTTGTCTCCTCTCCTGATCTGGGCCCTCTTCAGCAGGGGTGGGGCTCCCGCTGCTTCCCCCTGTTGGCTCTCTCACAGTGCGGGCATTCTGGAGTCCCTGGGGCACATGGCAATGGGTGGGTTTTGGCCCTCTTCCTTGGGGGAGGTTGACTGGGGGGGCTGGGCCCCTGTCCGGGGACGGGACCGGCCTCGGGTTCACAGGGGCGGCAGGGAGCTTCCCGGCACGGCTTTCTGCTGTTCTTCCTCGGGGTGGAGCGCAGCTTTTCCCGGGACATGCAGTCTGGGGTCCTTTGCGCTTTGGGGGGTCGTGGGGTGCCCTGGCTACTAGGGTTGGGCGATTGCATACAGCTGAGCTGGTTGATTTTGCCTCGTTGCTGGTTTGGCTGGCGTTGCATGGCGGCCTGGGGGCGTGCGGTGCATGGAGGATGTCGGGTGGCACGGGTGGCCTAAATTTTTCCGGCAGTTGGGGGGACAGCACTGGTCTATTTTTGTGTGCGCGCCGTGGTCCGTCCGGCCGCTGCTCTTCCGCCTCTTCCGTCGGCATTGCGTTGTCAATTGGCATTTGGATGGTCATTTTTATTTATTTTTTTTTTTTGGCCGTCTGTTGGCTAGGTCGGGGTCTTCCGCATTTGCATCGCCGTGCATTTGGGAGTGATATTTTTTTTTATATATTAATACTCTCTTGTTAAAAGTAAAATCTGTCTGGCACAATATAGTATCCAGCTCATCATACTCTATACTAGGCTGCTGGGCAGGACAGGTTTAAAAGAAAAAGAAAAAAAGGAATATAATTTCATTAAAAATTCGCAAATCAAACAGCAGAAAAACTGCAATTAGATTTTTTTTTTCTCAAATCGTCTCTCTCACCAACTTTCCCTGCTCAGAGGCGGATAAAATCTGCTCTAGGGTAGCAGCTAACGATGATTTTAGTACTTGAAGCTTCTATAGATTATTTCAACGATTCATCGATGCGTCGTTTAAGAAGTAGGCTACTTTTGCTTGGCGGCAGCCCCCCTGGTAACAGGATCAGCTGTGCACGTTGATAGATATTTATTGGTCCTTTCGGAAAATACAAACATCACCCGAGTGCTATCCAATTTGTACTAAAGGCTCGTGCAGACTACACGACTTGCCGTCTTGTGACGGGAGTCTTGAAGTCGCTGTGGCATTCACACTACGTGACTGATCAGTGACAGGGGGTCACACACTACGCGAGCTGACAGCGGCTGTGTCACCCGACTCAGGTCTCCAAACCACGATTTGTCAAGAAAACACACGTTAAATGTGAAACGGCAAATGACGTGAACCTACACATGAAACAGCTGTAGGTTGTTATTATAAAGATAGCAACTATAAAGACAAAGAATATGGGTGAAAGGATGGATTAGCACACGCAGGTAGTAGGGATTGTCTGAGCTACAGAGAGAGCTGGAGGTGAAGAAAAAGGTGCAGCTCCCTGACACCCAGTTAACTCATGACTGCCAGGTAACAACTCACGGCCCAAAAAGGAGAACAACAAACGCACATGTGTACATTTACAGCTCAGGACTGATGAAAACTTAAAACAACAACTTAGGACCCAGTATTTAGCACAAATCCATCAGCCGTTTGCTGTAAACACACTGCTGAACGCTGGCTGCTGTTTCCCAGCTATAAATTTAATGGTGACATACAATCTCAGGCGGACATCCGTGAGACGCGTGGAAAACAAACTGGATAAAACCATCAAGTTCTTAAAATAACTCCAGCACAGATAAAACAACACAGAAATAAAATTGCGACAGTTTGGAAGGTTATTAAAACATTTCCAGCGACAAGAACTGCAGATCAGCTGCAGGACTCACGTCTGTGAGGAATGTGATTATAACAAGCGTTATTACCTGCTGTAATCAGATGTTCAGCTGGTTTTGAAGAGGTGGAGACCGACCTCAGCTCTGTGTAGAAACTTCCTGACTGATGAAAACTTAAAAACAACAACTCTGGACCCAGTAGTAACTCGATCAGCTGTTCGCTGTAAACACACCCAGGCTGGCTGCTATTTACATTTAATGCCAACGACTGATCTCAGGTGGACAACGGCGAGACATGTGTGGCTATTTGACTGCTGATTGTGATTTATTGGTTTGTAAAATATGGTGGAAAAGAGAGGAGCAGTAGCAGACAATACATTCTCCAGTTAAAGCCAGTAGTCTCTCCTTGCAAGCCCCCCCCCCCCCCAGTACCCGGTACTTTCAGAAAGTACTACCCCCCGAGCAGGGTCTTTTTAGAAGATAAAATGAAGATCCCAGAACTACATTTAGACACTGGTCCCTCTAATGGGAACGCAGTGAGTTCCTCCAAAGGTTATTAGTTCCGGGGTAGAGTTCCTTTGGTCGAAACGTAGCTTAAAAGACACCTGGGGGGCAGAAATCTTTCTGAATGAGAGGGGGTCAATTACTTATTTCACTCATTAAAATGCAAATGAATTTATAACATTTTTGACATATACGTTTGTCAGAATTCTTTTGTTGTTATTCTGTCTCTCACTGTTCAAATAAACCTACCATTAAAATTATATATATATATATATATATATATATATTTTTTTTTTTTTTTTAAACCTGTCCTGCCAGCAGCCTGGTATAGAGTATAATGACCTGGATACCATATTGTGCCAGACAGATTTTACTTTAACAAGAGAGTATTAAAATACTCCTTTGTCTGTTTATTATTTATTTAATTATGTATTGATTTGTCACCGGGCCGGACAGGGGGGCAGACACGGGGATGGGGGGGCACAAACAGACAGCACAGAGAAAGGACAACACCTGCAAGAGAAGGGGGAAAGGGGGATGGAGGGTGGGGACAACAGGGAAAAGCTGTGGGAAACACCAATTGCAGAAAGCAACGAAACCTGCAAGAGAACAGAGAGGGGGGCTTGGGGAGGAGAAAAACAACAACAAACAAACACAAACAAAAAACAATAAAAATAATAATAATAGTAAAAGAAAACCAGCCGAACAGCAGCAATAAACAGCTGACATATTAATGACATATTAAGACAACTAAGAGAACAATGAAAACAAGAAACAGTCACACACACTAAATAAGCAACACAACACCATTACCATTAAAATTATAGACTGATCATTTCTTTGTCAGTGGGCAAACATACAAAATGAGCAGAATCAGAATCAGAAGGAGCTTTATTGCCAAGTAGTGTTTTACACATACGGAGGAATTTGCTGTGGTGATAAGGTGCTACACGTAGACAAACATAAAGTTGACATAAATAAATGCAGAAATATATAAATATTTATTTATAAATATGGAATGGAAGAACAACGTTGCAGATATATACATTGCATTATTCTGGGTCTGTGCCATGCAGAAGTAATGTAACGGAAGAGAATATTGTGTACATATAAATATATAAACTGACAACATAAAAATATACAACAACAAAGATCAACAATCAACAACAAATATGTGCAATGTGCCAGGTCTGTGCACGACACGAGATGAAACAGTATTACATGTGCAAGTGTATCATTATATCATGTATCATTTGCAAGGGGGGGAGTGTCAGTGGGGGACCCGGGCCTTGTTAATGAGGCTAGCTGCAGATGGGAAGAAGCTGGTTTTGTGGCGAGAGGTTTGGGTCCTGATGGACCGCAGCCTCCTGCCAGAGGGGAGAGTCTGAAACAGTTTGTGTCCGTGGTGGGAAGGGTCAGCTGCAGGGTCAGCTGCAATCTTTCCTGCACGCCTCAGAGTCCTTGAGGCGTACACGTCCAGAAGAGAAGGAAGATTGCAGCCAATCACCTTCTCTGCAGAGCGAATGATGCGCTGCAGCCTGCCCTTATCCCTGGCAGTGGCAGCAGCGTACCAGATGCCCAGGAAGTGAAAGGAGTCCATAGTGGTGACTGGGGAGTCACACAGGATGATGGGGGAGGGTGGGCTGGGCTCTTTCTAAAATACATGTCCATCTCCACTGTCTTCAGAGCGTTGAGCTCCAGACTGTTCTGGCTGCACCAGGTCACCAGATGGTCGATCTCCCACCTGTAGGCGGACTCATCCCCACCAGAGATGAGCCCAATGAGGTGGTGTCGTCCACAAACTTCAGGAGCTTGACAGACTGGTGACTGGAGGTGCAGCTGTTGGTATACAGGGAGACGAAGGGGGGAAAGAACGCAGCCTTGAGGGGATCTGGTGCTGATGGTCCTGGAATCAGAGATGTTTTCCCAGCTTCACATGCTGCTTCGTCAGGAAGTCTGTGATCCACCTGCAGGTGGAGTCAGGCACGCTCAGCTGGGAGAGCTTGTCCTGCAGATGGTGTTAAAAGCAGAGCTGAAATCCACAAACAGGATCCTGGGGAGTCCAGGTGCTAGAGGATGAAGTGAAGGGCCATGTTTTCTGCATCGTCTACAGACCTGTTGGCTCTGTAGGCAAACTGCAGGGGGTCCAGGAGTGGGTCTGTAATGGATTTCGGTGGGACAACACAAGGCATTCAAAGGACTTCATAACCACAGAGGTCAGGATGACAGGTCTGAAGTCGTTTAGTCCTGTGGTCCTTGGTTTATTGGGGACAGGGATGATGGAGGAGGCTTTGAAGCAAGCTGGCACATGGCATGTCTCCAGTGAGGTGTTAAAAATGTCTGTGAACACCGGAGACAGCTGATCAGCACAGTGCTTCAGGGTGGATGGGGAGACAAGAGTTGACTTCCCTCTCTGTGATGGAGGGGGGGGGAGCTGGCCAGCTTTGGGGAGAGGGGGGAAGAGGTGGTGGACTAGGCTGAAGCTGAGCGGAGGAGGTCACTAGGGATGGTGTCTGATTGACTCTCAAAACAGCAGTAGAACTGGTTCAGCTCATTTGCCAGACGAGAATCGTTTATGGAGTGGGGGACTTTGGGTTTATAGTTTCTGATCTGTCTGAGGCCCCATCCACACTACTCCGTTTTAGTTTACAAACGGAGAATAAACGAATACAATCTCTGTCCACACTAGCGTTTTAGCTGCGTTTTGGAGTTGATCTCCGTCTACATTAAAATGACGTTCAGATACACCGGGCATGCGCGTGCTGGTGTAAACATGAAGCAGATGGTCTCTTCCTGATTAGAGGAAGAAGATTAGAAGATTTGGCGAAAGCAAAAATCAAAACAGACGAAGAAGATTTTTTTTTTTTGCATGAACCAATAAGGAGCTAGGACTGTTACTGAATGTAACACAGGAGTGTGGCAGCGGAAAACAGACTGGCAGTCATTGCAAAGTAAATACTGCGACATGCACAGTACATGTGTAGGCAGATAAGTGTTATTTGCACGGTACATATTTTAATAAAAAAACCCGGTCAGTAGCAGCGTGTTTCTGCTTTGCATGACTTTTAAGACATAATCAGAGAGCCGAGCGTAAGTGGCTG